CTCAAGATTAAAAGGTAGATGGATCACTGTGAATCCAAGACCACCCAGGTCTACAGGAAGATTGATTCAGTCCTAAAGAGAAACATCTCAAAGATGATCTCAGCACCTGGGATCACACACCATTAATCCCAGTACTAGAGGTACTAGAGGGGAATAAAAGATAGGAGCAGGGTCTTCAGTAGTCAGTATTATTGAGGATGGGAAGACATTGAAGTCTCAGGATTCTCCAGGCACATTGAGGATTGAGGAGAGCATATGCTGTCTGAGGTTTGGTGGGGCCAGGATCAGTCCTTTCAGCTGAGGTAGTTGTAAGATCTAGTGACTTAAATGGTTTGCTTTTCTGATCTTTAGCTTGAAGTCTGAACCCCAATTATCTGCCCTTGTATCTTTTATTTTTCGTGCAATAACTACTATTCTATGTGCAGAAAATTTATAATTTGCAGATGCATCAAGTATTAGATATTGTTAATAACAAAAGTCAGGTTTGAAGTAGTTTGCCTTTAAAGACACAAAGCAAAAGTACCGAGTTCATACTGATAACTTGTATTTTATCCCTTCACATTAATCACTATTATTTGCTAGCATTCACTATGGGCAAAGCCCTTTCTGTGTGCTTAATTTTCATACCAACTATTGTCATTATTTTAGTGGTATGGAAACTAAGTCACAGGATTTGTACAAGAACAAATTTTAAGAGATAAATTCAAGGGTGGGAGTGGTACACATCTTTGATCCCAGCACTTCAGAGTCAGAGGCGGGCAGATCTCTGTGACTTTGAGGCCAGTCTAGTCTATAGAGTGAGTTCCAGGATAGCCAAGGGTACACAGAGAAACTCTGTTTTGAACCTCCTCCTAAAAAAAGCATTGGATGCCGTTCCTGAGGGCCTGGGTTCTAGTTCTAGCACCCACATGGTGGTTCATAATTGTTGGTAACTCCAGTTACAGACAGACCATCAGCCACCCTCTTCTGACCTCTAAGGACGACAGACACACAATTGTACACAGACATATATATGCAAGCAAAACGCCCATAAACATAAAATAAATTCAGACAATATAGGTATTGGGCAATTCTCACTTCAAAAAGAATATTACATATCTTTGTCTCTTTTATATCAACCTCAAATATCTGCCTCTGAAACGCAGTCTCCTTCAAAGGCAGAAATCTGGAAAGGCATCCTGGCCCTTCAACTTCTCTATCCTGGATTACTGCCACTTTAGCACCTACTGCACTGGACCAGAGACTGCTGTTAGTCATTTCTACCTAAATGAGAAAACACTATTTCTAAACTTCATTACTGAACAGTCAAGACAAAACTTTTTTTTAGGATATTAAGCCACATTTACTCTTAACTAAAAGCAACTAAAAAACTTAGTAAAGAGCATGAAGCTCAAGACTGACAGCAATGCTTGCATGTTTTTTCTATAACCACAGTAGAATTTTTAGAGTTAAATTTTAGAACAAACTTCATCTTATTTTCATCTTCCCAAACCTTGAGACATGTCAAGAGAGAAACATGGAGAAATGGGCTATAATAAAATGGTGACTTTGCTGTAGTATCTTTGTTTTTTGAGACAGGCTGGTGAACCTCCTGCCTCAGTATCAAAATTGTAGATGACAAGTACCACATTCAGCTTCACTGAGGTACTTCAAAAAGACTTTTTGTTTTCTGTTGTTGATTTTTTTGAGAGTGTCTTATTATGAAGCCTCGATTGGCTTGGAATTCTTTCTATATAGACCAGGCTGCCTTCTAATGTACAGGAATCCATCTGCCTCTGCATCCTGAGTCCTGGGACTGAAGATTTACGTCATTACACCCAGCTGTTTTAAAAATGATTCCTTAGAACACAAATATATTTCAACATGGCATGGTCATTTTTTTTCTAAACATATGAAAAATTATATGAGGGGACTGGAGAATTATGCTTAAGAGTGGTTAAGGGCTGCTTTTCCAGAGGCCAGGAGTTTGATTCTAACACCCACAAGATGGCTCACAACCATCCCTAGTCCTACGGATTCATACGCCTCCTTCTGGCCTCCACCAGGCACTGCATGCAGTGGTGCACAGACACATGCAGGCAAAAATCACCCACACATAAAATACAAAAATAAAATTAAAATACAGAAGGTGTTCCTTATGGAGGTCAGAACAACTGTGAAAATCAGTTTTCTCCTTCTACCATGTGGGCCAAGGGTTCTAATTCAGGGTGCTAGGCTTAACAGTAAGCATCCTATCCACTGGGCCATTTTGCTAGCCCTGTATGATAAGACTTTTATATTCAAGTAGTTACTTGACCACCAAGAATCTTGCACGGGGGGTGGGGGGGTGGGGGTGGGGGGGGCACTGAAACTACTACTGCATGGACAGGAGTTTGTGATAGGACATTCATTTAGTGTGTATTTCATGTGTTCCTTTCCAGCTTGTAAATCTAATGATTCATTCAACAGAAACTTATTGAGTATTTTTGTAGTTACAACAGACAAACACTGCTCTAAGTGCTGACAGTGGGCTGGGACGTGCCTTAGTGGTGAAGTGTGTGCTAGCAGCAGCATGGCCCTTGGTGCCATCTATAGCACCACAGAACAGACAAGGAAAACCAAAAACCTCACTAGTGAGGAACGTCAACAGCTAATGTTGCAAATACCAATTCTATAGTAAAATTAAGAAAAGTGGGTAATATTGGGGGATTTATATTAGGAAAGTGCAATGCAAATCCATCTACTCAACATACCATTTCAATATATAAATTTCACTGTTCACAAAAATGCCTCATTTTAGCATCTTTTCCACTACCATAAAGAGTTGTTAAAAGGTGGGTGGTGGTGGTACAGGCCTTTATCCCAGTACTTAAGAGGCAGAGGCAGGAGGATCTAACGTTTTGGGACAGTCAAGGCTACACACAGAGAGAAATCCTGTCTTGGAAAACCAAAAAGAGGTATGTTAAAACAAACAAAAACAAAAAGGCAAGATAGCTTTGAAACACTGAGATAGAAAAATGGCCTCAAGTGCAAGGCCTGCTGGGATATGTAATGAGTTCCAGAAGAAGACTGTTTAAAAACGGCAATAATAAAATTGTGACAATATGACATGTGACATGAGCAAATGGTATCAGAAATATAACAGAAACATTGCATGTTAGTATATTCATATTGCTAATATAAAACTTACTTGGTGGCCGTATATACTTGCATTTTTCTGAAGCACCAAAGGAGCCAATCCATGACAACACATTAAAAGAATAAAAGTGTTGATTCTTGCTAGGTGTGGTGGAATACACCTATAGTCCCAGTGGAGGCTGAGGCAGAATCATCTTTTGTTCAAGGCTAGCCTGAGCTACTTTGTCTTAAAATTTCTTTTTCACCATTTGATCATAGTCAGGACTAAAATTTTAATTCCCTGGCTGCTAGCTAGAATAATTAGTCAATTAACATCTAATCTTAAGCACAAATAGCCAACTTCTAAAACCTACATCTTTATCAGAAATTTGGAAATCAGGAATAGAAGAGGCCAACCAAACAGTAAGTCGTGATGTAATTAAAGCCAAGGGACCAAGTTGCTAAGTTATAGAAAGCCACTGTTCATTTGGAAGTTAGCCCAGAACACAAAAATTTGGAGAAATGCTGGTGGTTGAAACAGAACCACGGTTCCAAATATGCTGCCTCATTCCTTTATCTGCAGAAGCTTCCTCTCATACCGTTTACCCAAATGGCTATAACCACCCTGGAGAATCCAGCAAGACAACAAAGCTCTCAGACAGGTGGAAAGCCAGTATTAGGAAACACAAGACAATACATTTGATGCTAAGATCAGGAATATTGTGTTCATTATAGACTGACCAACCCTAGAGTGTTGGAGATAACAAAGCATTTTTTAAACCTTTCAAAATTCTTCCTTTGACAGATCGTATTTTTTCACCAAAGACTCAGTTCTTTAAGAACCACCACCTGCCAGCGAGCATATTCTTCCTCAAGAAGACATCTGCACTGCAGATCTCTGCACGAGGAGAGCCTGCTTGTCAGCTCCCACCAGCAGGCAGACATGTATACAATAGAAACTAAAGGAGGCTGGCAGCGTCCCTCCTAGTCTTTTCAGCAAGGGAGAAAGGGGTCCAACCAGCCCAGGCTTTGTCTGAATTTTCTCCTCTTTTTCCCTGCAGCAAATGCTCCCTTTCGTTATACTGCTATGGAGAATAGGCCATCGAAAACATGAAATCAAAACATGGTGATGACTTGACATGACTGTATTTATTATCGTCTAGAATATAGCAACTGATTGCGTGTCCCCACCCCCACGATGCGCCCGTGAAGAGCCGGCTGTGTTGCAGATGCAGCCAAGGATCCATCTTGGACTATCGGCAGCTCCCTCCCAAATCTTCCTGTGCTATTTTCATCACGCCTCCTCTACCTCTGAGCCTCAGAAAAATCTGGCATTCAGTTTAGCCCAAAGCAGTAATAGGACTTCCTGATTCTCCTGGCCAAAAAAAAAAAAATGGGGGGGGGACTATCACCCATGTAAGATTGTGTCAACACCTGCCTGCAAACCTGCAACGCCACCCCTTCCACCACCACCCTTCTCAAAATCCTAACATCATTTCTCCTACGACCCACCTGTCACAATCCTCTGAAGCTCGCTAATCCTCCACTAAGTCAGCCCCCCTACCCGCCCGCCCCGTTCCACCCCAGGTCTCTGCAGCCTCCTGAACATGATATCCATTCAGTTCACCTAGCTTTTCTGTTTCCAACCCACGACTGTGTCCTAACCCGCAGGGAGTCAGCATCGACTGACCATTCTCTAGACCACCTCCCTGCCCCCAACCTGTGTTCTTCACACCCCGTTATTTCCTCACCGCGGCTCGGCCCTTCGCTCCCCTCCCCCTTTGCCTGTTCCTCAAATGCCCGCCTAGGGGTTGAAGCCGCCCGCGGCCCGGGTAGGTCGCCCGCCCCCGCCTGGAAACCCAGTCGCTCGCGCTCCCAGGGACCGAGCTCCCCGCGCGACTCACCCGCACACGAGGAGCCGCAGCTCTTCGCCCCCAGGGCGGGGCAGGCTCCCGGGCTCCCGCCGCTGCCGAGAGCGGACGGCTCGGCCCCGGAGGACGACGAGGAGATTGACGGGGACTGAGTGGCCGCCAACGACTCCGCCATGGCTGTACGAGCAAGGGCGGGAGAGAGGCAAAGAGAGACGTGGGACCGGAGAGTGGGAGGGGACACAGAATAATCCAGCAGCTGGCTCTCCGAAGTACCGGGCGACGGCTGCTCCGAAGACTGACTCCGACAGACTGACTGACTCAACCGTGCTCCGCGGGGAGAGGAGTCCGAGCGCGCAGGCGCACAGAGAACCCGAGGACGCGCGGGCGGTGGCCTCGGAGGCGCGCAGCGACGCAATGCGCAGGCGCAAGAACTGTCCCTCAGCGCTCCCGCAGGAAAGGACGCAGTGTGACTGGCCCCGCGGCTGGGGCGAGCCTCTGGAGGGTGTATGTGTGTGCGAAGGGGGTGCGGGGCGGGGGGGGGAATAGAAACCTGACGTAAGGGGCGTGGCTAAGCACCAGAACCCGCACGCCACTGCAGCCCCGACTGCGGATTAATAGTGCCCGGTCTCCCCTCCAACCCCTGGTTCTTTATGTGAATGTTTTCTAGTTGGCAGGTTATGTTTTAACGATCGAGGTTTCTTTGTGCTTCCACAAGCTGCAAATGATTTTTTTAAATCATAAATTCTAGTTAATGTCTTTTGTCTGACGCATACCCGCCTGTGAATCCAAAGAAAAGTGAAAGCCATAATATATAGAGACACCTTCCTCCCCTTCTCCACCCTCCGTGATGTGCTTTTTGAGTTAGCTGGTTGTGTCGTAATATCGCCTCACCGAGGCAGACATGGCACAGTCCCACGTTTGATAGGTGGAGAGAAATGCTAGGCAGAATGAGAAACCATTACTCATTCCAATCACATTGCAATGCAGTCTCATAATCAGATTCTTATTTTTATCTTATTTTTCTTCCCAAAGAGGGCTTCAGGTTGCCTTTTCTCTAAGTAGATTCTGAGCTAGAGAAGACATGCTTTAGAAGTGGTAAAAACTTCCGAGGAAAGGAAAACCAGGAGATAATAGCTGGTTGTGACTGGGAGGGCATAAAATGAGGTGTTAAAAATGAGACAGATACACATTACTGAATTTTATTCATGTCCTAAGATGAGTCCTTAAAAGAAAACATATTTGAAACTGGACATCAGTTTATATCGAATTTTGTTCATTGATCTTCTGGGTTGACTTGCTAAATTCAAAGCCTCTCGGTATCTGGTCAAAAATTTTGAAAGTACATAATAATGATGATAATCAAAGCTGTCAGATTTGATGTTGCTAAGCAACAATCGATGACCCCGAGTGCAATTGCAGGTTCAGCAAATCCTGAAAAGATGCAAACTCATGGAGGGGGTGCTGGACAAGCAGACTGCAGCAGACAGGGAAGACTCTCTGAGCATTGGAAATCTAGAACAAGCTGTGGACCTCGTCTGTCCTAGACAGTTTTTTAAGGTCACATAAAGCCCAGACAGCATCCTGGTTGCAGTGCTCTGAAAAATGCCCTTAGAATTTCCCGAAATAACTGTGTAAAATATTACTCTGGCGCTCAACAGCATCAGTTAATAATGCAGCAAACTGCCAGGTGGTGATGGCACATGCCTTTAATACCAGCACTCTGGAGGCAGAAGCAGATGGATCTTTGAGTTCGGGGCCAGACCCTGATCTACAAAGAGAGTTCCAGGATAGTCAGGGATACACAAGGAAATCCCAGACTCATGAGACCAAAAAGAAAAAGAAACCACCTCTATAAAATCCTGCTGTAGGCAAGCCTGTAGGGCATTTTCTTAATTAGTGATTGATGGGGGAAGGTCCATCCCATTGTGGGTGAGGCCATACCTGGCCTGGAGATGAGTTCTGTAAGAAAGCAAGCGAGCAAGCACAGGGAAGAAGCCAGTGAGCAGCATTTGCCTCCAGGTTTCTGCCCCGACTTCCTTCAGTGGTGAACACTGATATGGAAGTGTAAGCAGAATAAACCCTTTTCTACCCAACTTGCTTTTTGGTCATGGTGTTTTATTGCAGTGATAAAATCTCTAAGTTGGTACCATCATAGTGAGGTATTGCTGTGACAGCCCTGACCATATTTTTTGGGAGGATTGTCAAAGGACTTTGGAACTTTGGGCTAGAAAAGCCATTAAGTGTTGAGAATCTTGGGAGATAAGAATGTTGAAAGCTGTGTAGAGGATGGAGGCCTGGCTTGTGAAGTTTCAGAGGGAAGCAAAGACTTGACCTGGCCTTTTGTGTGAAGAATCTGTGGTGTCTGGTCAGCTGGAGCTGAATTTTCTGTGTTTAACAAGAGACTAGAACCACTAAAGTAAAACCTTTGCTTTGCTGGAACAATGGATCAAAATAATCAGGCATGATTAAGAAAAGACCAGATCCATAAAAAAACAGACAGGTGGACTAATGGAATAATTGAAGACCCTGATATCAATCCACCCACCTGTGAACACTTGATTTTTTGCCAAAGAAGGTAAAATTATAAAATGGAAAAAAAGCATCTTCAACAAATGGTGCTGGCATAACTGAATGTCCACATGTAAAAGAATGCAAATAGATCCATATCTATCACCAAAATGGATCAAAGACCTCAACATAAAACCAACCACACTGAACCTCATAGAAGAGAAAGTGAGAAGTAGCCTTGAACATATTGGCACAGGAGACTGATTCCTAAACATAACAGTAGTAGCACAGACACTGAGAGCAACATTGAATAAATGGGACCTCTTGAAATTGAGAAGCTTCGGTAAAGCAAAGAACATGGTCAACAAGTCAAAACAGCAGCCCACAGAATGGAAAAAGATCTTCACCAACCACATATCTGACAGAGGGCTGGTTTTCAAAATATACCAAGAACTCAATAAATTAGACATCAAAAGTCCAAATAATCCAATAAAAAATGGGGTACAAATCTAAAAAGAGAACTCTCAACAGAGGAATCTCAAAAGACACTTAAGGAAATGCTCAGCATCCTTAGTCATCAGAAGAATGCAAATCAAAACAAATACGAGATACCTTCTTATACCTGTGAGAATGGCCAAGATTAAAAACTCTGATGACAGTTTATGCTGGAGAGGATGTGAAGTAAGGGGAATACTTCTCTATTGCTGGTGGGAGTGCAAGCTTGTACAGCCATTTTGGAAATCAGTATGGTGGTCTCTCAGAAAAATGGGAATCAATCTACCCCAGGACCCAACAATACCATGTTTGGGCATATACCCAAAGGATGCACACTCACACCATAAGGACATTTGCTCAACTATGTTCATAGCAGCATTATTTGTAATAACCAGAACCTGGAATCAACCTAGATGCTCCTCAGCTGAAGAATGGATTAGGAAAATGTGATACATTTACACAATGGAGTACTACTCAGCCATAAAAAAACAATGACATCTTGAAATTTGCAGGCAAATGGATGGAGCTAGAAAAACCCATCCTTAGTGAGGTAATCCAAACCCAGAAAGACAAATACAGTATGTTCTCACTCATAAGTGAGTACAGGCCACAACCCCAGAGAACCTAGGTAGCAAAGAGGACCCTAAGAGAGACATATATGGATCTGCTTAGGAAGGGGAACAAGACAAGATTTCTTGAATAAATTGGAAGCATGAGGGGCAGAGGGGGAGAGTGGAAGGAGAAAGAGGAGGAGGGAAGGAGAGTAGGGAAAAGTGTAGAAAAAAATATAATAAAATCTAATTTAGAAAGAAAAGACCAGATCAGTGAGGTGAAGTCTTCTGGGAAATGTTCAGGGTCAGGGTCAGCTCACAGAAAACTCCGTTCCAGTAATCCAGTAATGGCCAAGGTGGTGCCTCATGCTGGCAGCTGAACTTGGTAATATGAGTCACCCAGGTGGTACTGGTTTTGAAGGCATGGAGGTGTCCTGGAGAGTAGCTTTCTTGGCACTATGTAGCAAGGCTGGAGTCCCTGAAGAAAGCCCAGGAGAGGTTATTGGTGCAAGTGCACCCTAGTTGCGGCAGAATTCCCAGCATTTTGGAAATGCCAGTACCATGGGATAGTCCCTAAGAATAGGAGCAGGTATGGAATGGAGCCAAGAAGACAAGTTGTGTGTGCTGCAGAGGTCGGAGCTGGAGAAGTGACCCAAGCCCAGAAGATTGTGAGTGTATCCCAGACATCGGAAGTTGAGTTATTCACACTGTTAGAGTTTGGTTTTGCTTTAGATTGTAACTTTGCCCTAGTTCTTCCCCTGTTGAAGAATGAAAGTACTTATTTTTCATGTTACAGAAGCCCACAGTTGACTTTAAATTTTAAAAAAGATTTTAGATGGAGCACGCCTTTAATCCCAGCACTCGGGAGGCAGAGGCAATCGAATCTCTGTGAGTTTGAGGCCAGCCTGGTCTACAGAGTGAGTTCCAGGACAGGCTCCGAAACAATACAGAGAAGCCCTGTCTCGAAAAACCAAAAATAAATAAATAAATAATAAAAATAAACAAATAAATGAAAGACTTTGGAGTAGAATCTGGATTTTAAAAGAGACTTTTTTTTTTTTTTAAAGACTGAGTTTTTGAAGTGTTTGAATTTGTAAGGCTATGAGGCTTTTTAAGTTAATAAAATGTTTTATACTGTGATGTTTATCTTGATGAGTGAACTTGGGGATGAACAAGAAAAGAAAGGTTGTGTGTTTACAGTGATTTGGTTATGTATCAGGCTGATAAGGGGTCAGTTGTGCTGAAGAGTTTATGTCCTGAAATATCAGATGTGGTGGCACATGCCTGTAATCCCAGCATTCTGGAGGTTAAAGTAGAAGGAAGGGGACTTGAGTCTTATCTTAGGGCTAATAGTAAGTCAGTAAAAAGCTTTTAGGTGGGGAATGACTCAGAAGAAATTATTTATTATTATATTATATTATTATTATTATTACACACTCACATACACACTTCTAAGATAAGGTTTCTCTATGTAGTCTTGACTGTTCTGGAACTCCTTCTGTAGAATTCCCTCTGTAGAGCATGCTCAGAGATCCACCTTGCCTCTGCCTCCCAAGAGCTGGGAATAAAGGTGTGCACCACCACCACCTGGCAGAAATTATTATTTTGAGATGGGGTCTTACTGTGGGGCCTTGGCTGGCCTTGAGCTCACTATGTATACAAAACTGGCTCTGAACTCAAGGAGAGCCACCTGTTTCTGCCTTTCAGATGTTGGAATTAAAGTTGCATGTGGTATTTGTCTTTTTTGTGACTAAATTATTTTACTCAACATAATATCTGTCACTTCCTGAACGTTGCTGCAGATCACAGGATTTCCTTTTTTTTATTCTATAATTATATTCTATTGTGTTTATATACATTTTCCTTCTCCATTCATTCACTGATAGACATTGTGACTGAATCTGTATTCTAGCAATTGTGTACAATGCTGAAAGAAACATGGAAAGGCAGGAGTGATGGCATACTTCT